GTATCTCCAAAGAAGGAGGCTTTTAATTATTTTCCTACTAGATGAGGAAAAAGAAAAACCCTTTGCAACCTCATCTCCTGAAAGACAGATGCCGCACATGCAAGCTGCAATATAATTAACATGCAATTAACACAAATTAAAAGACAAATTGCTAAACTAAAACCCCTGTAGAAGGCTCCTTAGCGGTGTGAAAAAGGGAGGCTGGGGGATGAGTTGGTACTGGGGTAATTAGATTAAACCCACCAGACACATCCTTGAGTGAAGTGCTGCTACTCTGTTCCTCTTTATGTGCTTCAGTATAACACTGCACTCTCCCCCTTGGAGACTTCAGGACTGTTCCAGAGGGGTGGACAAGAATTTCAAGAGGTGGTAAAAGAGATTGTTAAGGAATGGGCTTTTCTTTATCCCCTGATGGCATACAACCGAGCAAAGCACAGACTGGCTGAAGCTCTCAGTCTTGTCTCCCAGTCCTGGTCCTCCTGCAGACCAGATCGGTTATCTTAGAGCCCTGGGAATGGGTGAATGGGTGAGTGAGTAGTGTGTGTGGGGGTATGTTTTTGTATCTTGTGCGCATCTGTCTGTATTCTCACTCTCTGCTTCCGAAGCCACTTTTTACCACACAGGAGAGCTCTTTTCCTTCACAGCGATTTCCCGATAAGTGGGCTGTGAGCTGGCAGGGAGACGGAGAGCGGGAATAAGCCCTGGAATGCAGAGTAAGCATGAGAGCAGAGGGAGTGTACCGTGAAGAGATAGAAACGCAATCTCCAAGCCAACAGCAGATGACAGCCTAGTTTACACTTTAATACTCCAAAAGGGTTCTGAAACATTTGTTGCTCTATAGAGGCCGTTTTTATCTCCTATTTATTTTAAAAGAAAAACTTATATGGCTCCCCAAACATGCACATAAATAAGAAAAACAGGAAGTATCCCCGAAGAAAATCCTATGGAGTACAGATAGAATGGCAGTGTATAGTTGTGTTGTTTATTGCTTTTCACACTCATCTCCAACTTTTGTATTGTGGGATAAGTGAATGGATAGGCACCTTCCTTTTCGAAAGACAAGAAAATGTACATATGCAAAAGATTTAATGAAAAACTAATTTCCCAAGTACACAGGTGCCCCTACAGTATGTATCTTTTAGTCATTGTTTATTTTTTAGGCAGGCAGTACAACTGGGAGAGGGGGTACGTGTTACCTGTTAAACTTGCTATTATACTTTCTCTTCCTTTCCTGATGGGAACTGCTGTGAGCCCAGACTCTTAACCACAAATGACACGTTTATGATAAATGATATAGAACATGTGCTCCGCTCAGCCCTGGAGGCAGAGAGATTTCATACACGGCACTCCAGGGGAAGCAGTAACGCCGAGTTGTAATTACGCAGCCATTTAACCCATCTATCTGCCGAGACTTCAGCGACCCGCACTCAGGCACCGAACAGCACAGCCGGGAGACAGCCAAGCTACAATAGGCCAATTAGTTTGGGAGGGCTGAGGAGCTGGGGGACAGAAGTTGGAATCCAACACTGTTGCTAGTACTTCATCTTCAAAGAGGCTGACTGTCTGCCACTGTTGCTTTTTGTTGGCAATCAATAACGCCATGCGCCGATAAATAATCACCAAACACATTTTCAGAGTGGTTTTTAATTATTTAAGTCTTTATCACTGTGTATTTGGAGTGCTGAGAACCACTGTAATTAGCATAAAAAGGCCTGCTCCTGTGTTTGCCAGACTGGCTGGGCTAGATGGTTGCTGGTCTGTGGGAGCAGTTTGATTCAGTGACAGTTGAAAAGAGTCTTGGCTTGTTTAAACCCCCCCCCAGCAATCACTCATCTCACACCAAAACCCACCACATTTATGTTAACACAATGGTTAAAAAAAAGACATCACTATTGTGCAGCTTTCCTTATAGACCACCAAGGATGTTGTGTTTCTTCAAGTTTACTTAGAATTGCTGTGTGACATCTATCCCTTACCACTGAACAGGGAACACTGTTTATTACAGTAACTCAGCACACTACCAAAGGCTAAAAGCAAGGAGGTTCTAGTGATATACATGTGTGCTTTGAGTTTGTGGTGCAAGCTGTAATGTAAGTCTTCTAGCCGCAATGCAAACAGTATTCAGAGCTGTGGAGTTCAAGTCAGGACAACTTCAGCACTCCAATGCAGAGAAAGAGCACCTCAGGAGTCACAGTAGCACTGCCATGTCTGGGTCTATTTAGTTCCAAGTGGCTGCAGACACAAGGCCGAATAGATGCGCGTGCACTGTTGCTACAGTATGCAGGGACTGCTGGGTCTGGTTTTACAAAACTGGCAACATTTTCTGTGATAGATGAGAGTCAGCGATACACTGCCTGAAGCTTCCTGATCACCCCTCTCCGCCCACCCCCGCCCATGTTTCGGTCATGAGTTGTCAGTGTAATGCATCTCCCCCCGCACCCCCCCCCCTCCCCGCCTCTTTCCTCCAGCCCCCCCTCAGCTTGGCTCAACCACTTAACCCCTCTCACACTAACACATGTCGCACTCAAGAGGCCCTTTCCCTCATCCTTTCATTACAGCAACTAATCTCCCAGCTGCCAGGAGCTACTTGATATTAGCAACCTGAAATGGGAAGACGGATATGCAGTTCACAAATGCATCCATTTTTTCAGGAGCCTAGAGGTATTGGGCTTTGGCACTTAACCAAAGGTTTTGCTGGGTGTTGGAAAATTAGCTGGATTTGTGAGTGTCCGGTGCAAGTGTGCCAAGAATCTAATCTGTATTTACAATGTAAGACAATTCAGACCCAAGTATTTTTTTCACAGTTCAGACATAAGTTCAAATGTCATGACAGTTATTCAAAATGCATCTTTGCAGATGGAGAACTACTCAGCACGGGCGATATTTGGAGGACTGGAGGTGCATGGGTCTTCCCAAACAAAAAAGCCGCTCCGCAGTGTATTTGCTGTGCTGTGTATATGAGCCAGACACTTTATGCTGTGGAAGTGTTTGTGCTAGCAGCTCTTCAATGTCGTGCGGAAGGAGGAATGCCTTGGGGACCTTTTGATTTACACATCTTATTCAAACAGCCTCTTGTGTACTTAGCTGAGGAGCCTAGTGCAGCTCAGAATCCGTCTCTGCGAGGAGTCCGTTCTCAACAGAGACAGACTGCTGGCTGTTGGAATGTGGCTTTTTTGAGTCCTTGTCTTCGCCCTACTATTTCTCCTGTTATTTTAATTTACTAACATTTAATAGGGGTGCTGTGGTGGCTCTGTGGCTAAGGATCTGCACCTGTGGCTGGGAGGTTGCTGGTTCAAATCCTGCAGCCTGAGAGGAATCCTACTCCATTGGGCCCCTGACCAAGGCCCTTAACCCCAACTGCTCCAGGGGCGCCGTATAAATGGCTGACCCTGCACTCTGACCCCAAGCTTCTCACCCTGTCTGTGTATCTCAGGGAGAGCATGTTGGGGTATGTGTAAAAACAAATTCCTAATACAAGAAATTGGATAGAGTCAATAAAGTCATCTTATTGTGATTTGTGAATTCTTTCTGGTTCACTGCTGGTGCTTGTGTTAGGCACCGGGTGACCTGGCTATTCTGGAATTAACATATTTCTTCTTTGTCTGTTAGACAGATGCGATGAAACAGTTTGGGGACACCTGGTTGCACTGCATTGCCCCAGAAATCCATGACACTGAGCTCTAATACATCAATTCCATACCACACACTTTAAATTAATCTATCACAAATTATTTTAACGTAGTACTAGTTATTATAATTTGCAGAGTAACAGTCTTAACAACATTGTATGTATTGGAATAAAGAATAGAGGACATGAATAAAAAGGCTGATGAAAAAATTAGAAAGGAAATAGGGGTTCGCATTTGCATTCAACATTTCTGGTCCCCCTAAAAGATGCATGCAACAATAATGGGAAATAATTGGAAGTAAACGATACAGGAATAAAAGCTGTGTTTTAACTAACCATTAAAAAACAAAACCAAGTGCTTTAGGCCCAATGTGCATGGTTGTGGCTATAGACCAGACAAAAGATATATCCATTCATCATTATAAGCTTATTTAAGGCCCTTACAAAGAAAACATTCTCATTCTTTGTATATCGTTGTATGGGGCTATTTTAAATATTTGCGCAAAGACCAATACTTTCTCAGCATATTCTCATTAGACCAGACTCTGTCCCTGATTTCTATACACTTTTTAAATTGAAAAGCCTTCCATCTTTATTTCTAATTCTCCACATTTTCTGTATTTTCTGTTCTTCCAAAATATACAAGTTTTTTTGTATTTTGAAATTTCGCCAGCTGTTCATCACAAGCATTCCATTCTTTACTTCGTAGTTAAATATTTTTGGATTTGTCTGGGCACTCTGTCAAAGACAGACTGTGTTTGTGCAACCCCAGATAGATCAGACAATACTTTGTTTTTATTGGTAATATGAAGACTCTTCTGTGTCTGAAATAAATCTTCGTTGTCACAGACAAGAGCTCAAAGGCACAGCATTCATCCTGTAAAGTGCCACAGTCACAGCCACTCTGTGAACATGATGGACAGATCTGTGCTCAGGCTTTGAATAGAAGGAGTATTTCAGATATCCTTCCTAAGGTTTTTACACCTGGCATGAGCAGCCATTAGCAATCTTCATCTGGATGGGTAAAAGGTTTTTACATTTACAATCTACATTTTCAAGTTTTTTACCATTATCTACAATCCTCCATGTTGAACATATTTATTGTATAATACTTACAATATTTATTATGTATTCTTTTAATTGTTTCAGCTTGTACAAAAATATAACTTTAAGCAGCATGACTGAAAGCTTAACTAAGAGCCAACTGTGGTTGGTTATTTTAAAACATGTGGTTGTTTTTGTCAGGATCAGTGTTCAATAGCCTTAGAGACAGAAAAAGGGGACCCATTTTTCTGCAATGTAATGTGGTGGATGCCAAAACACAAACACAAGGTAGGAACCCATTAACAGCGTGTGCTTTGTTTCTCTCCAGCAGACAGATGAGGTGGCACAGACAGAGGGCTCACAGCAGCTACAGCTACAGCCTGCAGACACTTCAGAGAAGCAGCAGCCCAAACGGTTACATGTCTCTAACATCCCCTTCCGCTTCCGTGACCCTGATTTACGGCAAATGTTTGGGGTGAGTTCCTGGACAATTGGCTAGTTCACACAAATGTTTTGCCGATTGTTCACAATGGTGTGGACAGACGACAGTGAAAAAAACAAGCATTTACAGTACACTGCACAGGGTAAATCCCTTGCCTGTGTCCATTTTGCAAAGATAGTACAGGCTGCCAAGCACATTGTTGATGTTTTTTTTAAACTTAGGTCAGATTTCTAACAGCCTCTAAAAGCCTTGTTTTTTCACCAAAAGTGAAATACTGTAGGTTGATACATAATTAGTACTTAGTTAAATCGTTATTGCAAACATTGTGGCCATCAACCTTTGGTATTGCTAAAGATATACTTTTCAAATTGTCACTTTCAATTAAAGTCTTTTATAACACTTCATGCACTGCAGTTACTCATTATATGATCCTTTCACACATACAATACATAAAAAATGTATTGTAACAAAAAACCGAATGATCTCTCTCTTAATTGTAACTCTTGTGGGTTTGCACATTATAGGTATATTTAAATTTAACCTATGAATCATAAGTGCAGGAGTTCATTTTAGTACATTCTAAATTAAACAATGAATATTTAATACAAGATGATGAATGTTTTATGATGACACATTTGGGATTTGGAGTGTCACACATCCTTTCAGTAGTACAGTATGTTACTATTGGAGAATCACTCTAAATCGTAGACAATTTACAATAGGAAAAATAGCGTCTGTCAAATTACATAAAAAAAGTTTAGATTTAAGGTTTCTATGGGAGGAGTATGCCTTTTGAATACTGGATGATCTTACATTTTTTTGTTCGTTTTGCATTGGAATGGATGGAGATGTCTTAAACAGTAATATATCTCTGTTTATATCCAACACTCACGCTTCACAAATCTATTCAATATTTTAACTACATCATAACTTATCTGTAAATGGGATTACTCAAGTGGTCACATACAATTGGTTGGACTTGCTTACATCAGCCATGATATCCTCGGCTTCTAGTCTAAGAACAAGCCATTGTTTGTCAATGCCCTTGCCAAGTATCCGTGAATTTGTGCTATTGTTAACAAGACTCATTACTCCTCCCATGAATGCTAAATCTGCTGTAAGATGCTATGGAGCTCACAGAAAGTTACAGCGAGTGGCTCCAGAATGAATGTTCTGGAGGAGAGAGTATACAGTCCTCATACCCAAGAGCTAGTGCAGGGGACCTAGTGAGGAACAAAGTTGGATTAAAAGGCAGGGTGGCTGGCTGGATCCACACCTTTCCCAAAATAGAAAGGAGTGTTAAAATGCTCTGTTTGAAAATTATAATTTAAAAAAAATCAAATTATCAAACAAGGGCTTTCTGTTTGGATGTCCCTTGAATGTTAAAGAGAATTTACTGAATGTTTTCCATGTCTTCAAGCAGTAAGAATATTCCAAGAAACTTTCCAATGTTTGAGTTCCTGCTTGTGAGAGGCATCTGGTGACAGGGGTCTCTTCCCGTCTTTATTGGAACTGTGCTGTCTTGTGTGTGAACGTCTTGGCTACAAACCCAGAAAGCGAAACAGGAAGTGTACCAGTGTCTAACAGTCTCTGTCAAAGATAAGATAAGCAAATGGTCCACACAAACTCCACTGCTGGAGGAGTGTGCTGCTAAACCTGAGTCTCCTGTAAATAGAGATTGTAGCAAGGTACAATCGATTGTAGCATGGTCGACTGCAGCGTTGCCTTGCTCGAATGTGATAAAACTGATGCTCTGTTGGCGTGGCTTGTTAAGACTTCGAGCCAACATTTACTGGGAGTGCAGCGGACAATAACATTTAATCTTATAAAGACTCATAAATTATTTTTTAACTTAAAACGTGAAAACAGTTTTTGTTCACAGTCCTTTATTTCACACTCCAAAGGTACCTTATCCTTTATTTTCTAAAGGACTTCCCCATCCTTGTTTTGTAGAGCGCTATAAGATAGAATGTCCCAGGCGTGGAAGCATAATTAATAGTATTTTTCACAGCAATTAAAAGGGAGTTTATCCTAATTAGATGCTCATGGACTCCTGTGGAAAGATCTTAGGAAGCCAGTAGGGTGGCTGGAATTCTATTGCTTTAAGTCTCCAAGGATTCATTAAGACTCAAGTGCTGAAGAGCAATTAGCCACTGAGATACTGGCTGGAAAGAGAAGAGACACAAGAAATAGAGCTGGCCTGAGATAAAGAAAGTGCACTCTACAGATGTCTGAGGTAACCAAGGATAGATAAGAGGAAGTATGTCAGATCTGAATGTCAGTTTTCACTATGACTATTTTTCTGGTATGTTGTTGTTTCACTGTTTGAATTATATTCTTTCCCATGGTTTTGTTGAAATCTTCCAAAATGCTAATGAAAAAAAACAATCTCAGCACAGAGACAAAGAAAATTCTTCAACAGTGAACCCAGTCTTACCAAGTCTAGCGTCTTGACATAGTACAAGAACTGAATGTACTTGATTCGTTAATGTGACTTTTAAACTGAGTGTGCTCAAGTACTGTGTGGTTGTGGATAATATATCTCTCTGAAAAACAGAATTTGTTGAAAACTTAAAAGAGTTCATTGTGAATTAAGGATAAAAAAAACCTATTTCTGTGAAAACTGACAGTGCATTCTATATAATTGTGGAAACCTGGAGCCAAAATTAACTAATGACATTGAAAAAGGACTGACAGAACCAGGATGTAAGTTACTCTTTTTAATTTCAGCCACCACAAACTTGTTTATGTTTTTCGTATGGAGTTTTTTTGTTCGATTGATTTTTTTCAGCATTAGTCCTTTGGAATTGGAATTAAAATTGGTTTCTAATTAGCCCTGAGACTTTGACTGTCTCATTTAAGCACACAACTTTTTAGAAATATCATGCAAATCTAGAAGCTCAGCAAACTTTTCCCTTTCTTGTCAATGAAATAAGGCTTGAATTAATCGGAGTATACAGAGCTAGCACTTCGCAACAAAGATCCCGTCAGTTTCCTGGTGCCTTACAATGGGCTTGAATTGGATCACTTTTGTGCAGCTTGTGCTTTCTGGAGGTAATTGCCATAATGTGCCACTGACTCAATGTGCTGTTACATCTCTGCATGAACAGCAGAACAATGCAAACAAAAGCAATATTGGAATATTATGGCATTCAACAAAACAATGGACTCAACGTTGGGAGCACCCAAGCTATCATATATGAAATATGACCTCACAGGGATTTGTTTTTGCACAGAAACTTTGGTTTTCTAATTGAAATCAGAGGTCTATGTGAAACACTGGGTGAATTTCTGAGGGAAAAAAACTTTGATTTTACTGTAATGCAAGAGGAATTTATCTGGCCCTCTCAATTCACAGTTTGGATTTCTATACTTTTAAATGGAAAATTAAATCAAAAGGAAGAAAGTCACCGGCTGCATAAACTGCATAACTCATTCAGAGTTACTTTTCTGTTCTTTATATACACATCTGTCAAATGAAATTAGTGTTTTTAAAACAATAGTCTAACAGGTAGGTCGAAAATAGTTTAACAGGCTGATAAAAATTCTGTGCAACACATCATTCCTCACTTGTGGGAATTAAGCAGTCGTCTGGTCTTTTTTCAAAAGATTAGGAAGACCCATGTTGTCTCAAAACAACACTGCTACAAAGCATTCACCGTTAAACCTCATATTAGCTTGTTTAGAAATTAGAAAAGAAAAAAGAGAAAAATATATCTCAGGGATTTAGAACTATAAGTGTGAAGTTGTAATGCAAGGTAATAAAATAGTTCTTAAAGTATTAGAGTGAGCTCCTGTGAGTACACTTGGCTGCTTTAAGAAGTTATTTAAGTAGAACCGGTTCTTAAGACAATATTCAAATGTCTGTTAAGTGTGTCTTTAAATTCTAAGTGCACCTCAAGAACACCAAGCAGCTGCCTCCTTCCTCTGTGATCATCCTTTGTACAGCACTGACATTAATTTACCACTGCATAAAGAGGTCTTTAGAGATGGCAGCCCTCAAGACTTTATTGTATTGCAGTAATTAAAGGACACCCCTTTGATGTATATTTAGATATAAACTAGACAAGCGTAGGCATCTATGATGAGTACCGTTTCCATGCCTTCTGCTTTTATTTAATGACACTGCACCTCAAAGCCCAGCTGTTTGTGAAGAATGACGTCTTCATAGTGTAAATGAGACACTTCATCACCCCTTGCCCCTCTAATAAAAGAACAGTCCGTCATTACTAAAGGACTCACCTTAACAACATCAGATTAAAACAGTGCGGGGAGCTGGTATAAAATCTTTTTGTTTTTATAGCAGGCTTGCAGCAGCAGAAGGCTTGAGCAGGTTAACTAGAAAGTGGCCCTGCCCCTAACATCTGTTTATTTCTGATATTTACAAATTATATTATTCATTTAAAATTAGGCCATGGACACAACCCCTAAGTCTCAGGATGCAATGATCGGTACAGCATGTACTTTCTTTAAGAGCCTTTACTTAAGCAGCTACTGACTCAAATGTCCTTGTCAGCACTGGCCTAAAATCCACTGAACTAAATGTAATGCCTGGAAAACATACCTTTCCAAAATGATTGCTTAAAAAGCAGCACAGCACTCCACATGTAATGATAGTAACTTCCAATTGCACAGAACATTTTACACTTTTTATAAGAAAACCTCCCTTCTTTTCTACAGTGTAAAAAGTGTTTCTGTTGAGACTGTGAATTTGGGTCTTTATACGTTACAATCTAATATAACAATTCAATCTCATTTTTTCTAGACTAAATAGATTTATCTCCTTCACTCTGTGTGTATATGACAGTCCCTTGAGACCAGGAATCATTTTGTTGTTTGTCTTCTTGGAATTCTTGCTAAGACTGCAATATCCTTTTAGAGATATTTGACAACATCTGAACACAATCTTCAAAATGATTCCTTAATAGTGCATTTGGAAACCTTGAATTTAACTTCCACTGAACCTAATTCCATAGTTTTTGCTGTACACTCACACATTCCGGTTTATAGCTTCCACACAGTGTATTGAAGAG